ATTATTATTTTATTATTTAAAAAGCGCCATCAGATTCCATAGCGCTGTAAAGCATTATCGTCTAATGGAGCTGCATTTGTGATTTTACTAAACACCATTTATTATTATTATTTTTTGTACATCATTATTAAAATGTTTAAGATTTAGATTTCTTATTGAATGCATATAATATATATTTGCTTTCTGAAAAACAATCAATTTAGATTAATGTCATGTATAGTCACATTTATAACTGGCTTCTTATTGTATTGCGTTGTTTTATTGTTTATATTATCTTGTTTTATTGTTTTATAGGAATTTGTTTCCATACTTACAAAGATTTTTTTTTTTAAAGTTGCATTCTCTTTACATGGGTTTGTAAACCAACTGACAATCACTTTACCCTAATACACTAGAGTATAATTTCTTTATTTAGTGGAAATGTGTAAAATATGATTTTAAGAGTTCAGTATTTTGTATTATTTTCAACCTGCTACAACCAGAGACACAGAGAGCAAATATTTCCTCTGCAATTGGCTAAATACAGTTTTTCTATATGCTCTTATCTATCAACAACTGAACAAAGTCGTGTTAGCTATAGCTTTTTATAGAAGATAATATTTAAAAAAAGTAGTATTATCTTAGGTATCTTACATTATGGATCATAAAATATGTAGTAAATATTATTTGGTATTCAATTTATCATATATTTTTAAACTAGTAATAACTCATTATAAGAAGACACATGGAAGGTGTAACTTGCTGAACGGTTTTTATTGCAACATCAACAAACATCAAATTTCTTTACTCTTTTGTAGAATGAAGTTCTTTCTTAGCAGGTATTTTTGCTCTCGTGTGTAATTCTTGATTTTTGATTAGTTAACTGCTTCTTCAACTTCCCGTACCTGGGATGATACGACCTTTCCATCTATCACTTCCTCCACGATGGTCTTTACCTTTCTGGTTTTTGTTGGATCTGGAATTAAATTGATTTAATTAGATCAAATTAATGAATGAAAGATGTGGCTATTACCATTATTATTACGATTTACATAGTACCAACTTTGTAATAAAACCATTGTAATAAAAAAAATGAAAAACATAAATCGTGTGTTGTTGGACTTGTTTGGCAAACACTACTCTAGAGGATTCTTCGCTGGTATCATGGTACTCCGACTCTAGAGAAATGTCCCCAGGCAACATAGCGTGAGAGAAGAAGATGCTAGGACCATGCAAAGAGCACTTGAAGTTATTAGTCATGACGCAAATCCCCTGCAGTGGGCAGACTCATCCCTTTTCCAAAGGGAAGCATTGGGAGCAAAGGGGTGTTTGTGCGAATATCATTTGCATGCCAAACATGAAAGCATCACTATATATATAATCTGACTGGAGATACAATGTTGTTTCTTACCTTTTTTAGACTCTACAGAGGCTGCTGAAGACTGGGTTGTAGAAACTTGGGTGGAAGACACAGCAGTTGACTGGCCGGATGAACTTGAGCTGGAGTACGAAGACTGAGATTGAGATTGCCTGTGGGAAAAAACATGCACAATATATATGTAACATCAAGAATCATTAAGAATACGTTAAACTTGAATTTAGATGTCAAGCAAATCAGTGAAATATAGCCCGGGTCTGACTTTTTAGTAGAAGTAAGAATATGTCTTGGAGTCTTGGACTGTTTACACACAAAAAGACTATAACTCAGGCAAAACTTTGTATTTTTGTTTTAGTTTATTTGTTTTTAAAAAAATTCTCACATTTTAGATAGGGAAACTATCTGTTTTGTGTTGAACATTTGGATAAATATATTTTTTTTATTTCTGCAAAGTCTGAAGTTTTATACAGTGTAACTTGCAATGTTTTGGGCGTTTATCTAATTATAATTGAAAAAGAAGATGTGCACTTGATCGTTGCACATTGGTGTAGAACAATGTGTCAAGTTCTGAAAGGTGGTACAAAGATTTAATCTGGGAAGAGTCCCCAATGTAATGTGCCTGCTTGTGCCATTGTGTGCCCCATTGTCACCAGTACCTACCCAAACTCTCCCTCCAGCAAGCGGCGGTATGTTTCGATCTCCATCTCCAGTCTGCTCTTGATGTCTAGCAGTTGCTGGTACTCCTGATTCTGTCTTTCCATGTCTGATCTGATCTGAATTAGCTGTTCTTCCAGACTAGTTATTCTGATTTGGAGCTGTTGGATCTGGGCACCATAACGGCCTTCTGTTTCCCCCAGTGTGTCTTCCAATGATTTTTTCTAATATTGGGTGCACATGATAGCATTATTGCATGGATTACGGACTTTGTTAGCATTTCAAAATGTTCAATATGCTACAAAAAGATTTCACTTATTAAGGATAGAATATCTTTTTATTCAGAAATTGTATTAAAAATATAGAACACTAAAAATGTCATAATCGTCTTCAGTTCAAGCTATGTTCTTTAACTATGAATTACAGTTATCAACTTATCAAGTTATTCAACACCACCATTAATACAACATTTGTATTTATCATTAAAATAACATATGTATTGATTTTTTACTTTTACAGTAACCTGATGTGTTCATCCTTGTCAGTGTCAGCATACAATGCATTACATAGTGTAACGTACCGCTGTACATGCCACCAATTCACACAGCCTGAGAAAGCTGCATTAAGGTGACACAGATTATCTATATTTATAAGACTATGAGCTCCGATTTACATAAACATTTTTAAGAGTTTTAAATTTAATATATAATTTGTTTTTTTGGGATGTGTAATTATCTGATACATTCAAAGGTGAAACACAAATGTTGGAATCTAGAAGTGTTATGGAATCTAGAATGTGACTTGGTAATGCAAGGGTTTCAGTTAGCCAGGCATCATAGAAGTACAAGAGTTATCTTAATTAGGAAGAAGAGCCAAGAGAAGAAGCCAGTGAGTTATGAAAATAGTTAGTGTAATCGTTTCATGCGTTTTATTTTTTATTTGACATCATTCATGTATTATGTTGTGCTGGCACCAAATTATAGTTCCTCTATGTAATAATTGGTCAAATATAATGCTAGACATGAATACAATTCAAATAATTGAATGATTATCAAAATGTTCATCAAAGTCATACTTTTTAGTGAATGTATTGGCCTAGCCAACAAGCCAAATCTTACCATTGCTAGCTGAGATTGAAGCTCAATTTCCAAAGCTTGAAGAGTACGTCTCAAGTCAGAGATTTCACTCTTGCTTGTCTGCACCTTCTCCACACCAGCAGATATCTCCTTCTTCAGCTCATTGCACTGAAAAATGGAACATTAAAGATGTAACATTGAGGGTCTGAAGAGCAAATCAATATGTGCAATATGAGAGGACATTATCTATCAACATTTTACCCTTTGGTTGAACGCTTGCTCTGCTTCCCTGCGGTTCTTTTCAGCCAGGGCTTCATAGTCACCTCTCATGTCATTCAGAAGCTTGGTCAGATCTATACCTGGAGCAGCATCCATTTCAACATTGACTTGGCCAACAGCACTGCCCTTTGCAATGCTAACCTCCTAAACAGAGATATAGAAGACCGTGTTCAGTGCCATTGCTTACAAGAGGTTCCACTTTTATAAAAAAACACTATATTTGCAAAACAAGCTATGACAAAATGTATGGCTCTTATGTAAAATGAGTATTGTATTACAGTCAAATATTCTGTTGATGAAAAATGTAAGCAATACTTTATGATATACAAATATTTTTACATTAGATAAAAATATGCACATGTTTTAGTAGCTTTTAAAGAGCTAGATATAGCTATTGTATTGTACCAAAACTACAATCATTTAGTAGGTGATGCAGTTTTTAGCATCCATATATTGTAATTGTTGATTATTTATTTTGTGTTGGCACTTCAGAATTACACCAAACCTTAAAATTAGTTATATTTTATTGTTGTTTAACTGATATACGAATGTGTCTTTCCTTCTTACCTCCTCGTGGTTCTTCTTAAGATAGGCTAGCTCTTCATTCAAACTCTCGATCTGGATCTCAAGGTCACCTCTTGTCAGGGTCAGTTCATCCAACACTCTGCGGAGTCCATTGATATCAGACTCAACGCTCTGTCGGAGAGCCAGCTCATTCTCATACCTTGGGGAGAAAAATTATTAAAGTGCAAGTTATTTATCTGAAAATTATGCCATTGAATAAAATGTTGACGTTTTCCCACTAGTTAAGTTAATCTTGTTCATGTGATTCTCAAGTTTCTTGTGTATTACAAAATTAGCTATTGACATCACAGTCTAGTTTAGTTCAGTCCCGACATTGCCAGGCGTTTCCGCATCCACTTGCTATTTTCAATTACAGAAAAGAGCAGAGCTTATAACAATGATTGACAGGGAGCTATGATGGAAACCCTTAGCTTCAGGATTGAACTAAACACAGTGGTGTGGAAATCTACAGGTTTTTTGTAAGACCTAACAAACACATATTTGTTAATTACAATTACACATATTTATATAGTAGCAACATATTTCACAGTGCCGTAGGCAAAACAAGACAAACACGTTATTCTAACAAAACATATGACATACGGAACAATAAGTAAAGAGGGCCTTGTCCAAACTAGCTTACACCCTACAAGGGAATAAATAAACATCCAATTAAAAATCAGTTAACAGTTTCCCTCTAGTATTCATTTAATACCCTTTCCATGATTACATTTTTCTTAGAAAACGAGGCATTACTATATCCAACATTTTCTCTCAAGTTTATATGTTTTCAGGAAACATAGCAATATTTTATTATAGATACATGATATATTTTTAATACAAACAGAATTTAAAATGTTGCATATCTTATGTGTCAATGATTAGTACTTGTCTGTGGAGAAATACTCTTGAATGAAGAGTGTCCCTTACATGAATTCCTTTTATATGACCTGATGTATAGTATTGCTCATTGAGCGGTTACTATAATGTATTATCAGAACTGAGATCTAGAGCTGATTTTTTTATTTATCGTTATCTTGTCAAATGGTAAACTTACTTCATTCTGAAATCATCAGCAGCCAGTCTTGCATTGTCAATTTGTAGAATAACTCTGGAGTTATCAATAGTGGCATTGAGAATCTGTAAACAAGAGAGTTACTTGTCAAACTTAAAGAGTAACTTTACATTCAGTGAAAAGCGAAAGATTTTTTTTACCTTGTTCCTCAGGTCGTTGATGATTTCAAAGTACTTGCTGTAATCTTTGCCACTTGCAGAAGCACCAGCCGCAAGTTGTTTTTCGTACCAATCTCGGATCTTTTGCTCCAGGTCGGCATTAGCTGCTTCCAAAGCTCTCACTTTATCCAGGTAGGAGGCTAGACGGTCATTAAGGTTCTGCATGGTCTGCTTATCACTTCCGGGAAAACCACCTCCCAAGCCACTGCTTGATGAACTAGAGCTGAATGAAAACCCACCACCTGCACCACCACCAAAGCCAGCTCCATAACTGCTACCTCCACCAGAGTTACCACCAAAACCACCAGAGCTACCACCAAAATCACTTCTAAATCCAATAGCAGGACCTGAACCGTAAGATGAGCTGCTGCTCGTGCCAGTACGATAGGAGGACATGTTTGTTAGAGAATTACTTCTGACCCAAACCAGGTTGGTTGTAAAGAGTAAGGATGCTGATCTATTCCGTGTGTTTTATATATATATATACACTTTGTAGTGGGTGTTTCTGTGTGAATGCAGACATCCTTTAGTGGAGACACAACATTTTTTAGAACCTGGTCAACACCTGTTACAGAAAATACCTTGAAAATTCTGTCCACTACTATAGAAATTGTGTTCCCTTCAGGGTATTTTTTACACGTTGGTTTGAAACTAGGAGAGGCAAATTCTTTTCTTATTAAATGGCAGCAACACCCACTGGCAATGCATGGTTTGCCTCTTAGGTAGTACGAGAGAGCTTACCCAAATTACATGGTTAATGTGCAGATACTAGACACAAGACGGCCAAAAGTAGCACAGGCAACCCAGAACTTTCATCCCAGCTTCCCAAATGACAGAATTGGCAGACTTATTGCTGCAATAACATTTTAGAATCACCCAAGTTCTAAGCTATTCTAAGACTTGGCAGGGATGCTCAATACACCACCAGCTTTGCAATTATACAAAGCTGTGATACTGCTTAGGGAGATCATTTAAATGCAGTGTCCAAGTTGTATAGGTCAAAATATTGAAAATGTATATCCCATGCTCTGCTCCTCAAAAGAGGATCCCACAATGACTCTTCTCCCTCATCTCCTATAAGAAATTGGGTTATTTGTGGTGACTGGTGAAGCCTAGGCTGTGGATCACAGGTGTACAATAAATTCTATCACTGTATATAATTTATTTGCAGATGCTAGCATGATAGCAATAATACTGAGACCTAGAATACAAGACCCTGAGGAGCCAGGCAAGGCCTAGGCAGGAACAGGAACATGTAAGCGTGAGTGGAGTGTATACAGAGGAATGTGGTAAAGTTGTTTTGGGAAGCTGTCCTCTCTGCCCTCAGAGCTGAGGACTTACAAGATTGTGGTCTGCACCTGCAGGCTCAGTTGGCTTGTCATTAGGCCTCCGCTGCTGTTGCTGCCTCCCCTCCCAGCAGTAGCGGAGTTCCCCGGAGGCAAGCTCAGCCACCAGAACGTTTTGCCCCTTAAGGGAAAGCTATGGGCCTGGCCTCATGGATCTGCTGGTCTGCAGCCGCAAGGCTTGCTTCACGTCCCTTGTGGGCTTCTGTCACTACTTGGGGAGCGAGACGGTCCATGATGGTCCGCGCCCGCTTGTCTTCCCCTTTTCCAGCCCCACGCAGCAGGAGCCGCAGTCCTTCTTCCCAGCCTGGCTGGTCCGCAGCTACACAAACTGATGGTGATGGTGCTCCATTGCAGGCTGAATCCCTTTCTATGGTCGATGAGTGTTTTCCAGCTACCTTGTCTCTATCGGTGGACCCGCCATGTGGTTCCTGCGGTCCAGGCGGGTGAAGCGAAGGACGGGCCTCCAGACGGGTAAGTAGGCTTAAGGATGTTTCCTGGGGGGCAGAGATCTCCTTTCCTGACCCGGGGGTGGTGGCTGGGAGTAGTGTGAGGTGGACGTCTCCTACCCATTGCCTTGTTAGCTCTGCTAGCACTCTGCCCTATGTGGGGGTGCTGCCTGGATTTTCCGGGCACCCCTTGTCTTCCCTGTCCACCTGGGGTGTGCCTGACTGTACGGGTAAATGGCGGAGGCATGTGACTTCACCTTTTGGATACTTGGGAACAGAATTCAGCAGCCCCTTCTTTGGACATGCAGATTAGGGTATGGTTGCTTCAGCTGGGGGGGCTGGGGGTGCTCATTCTCTGTGACATGTTGGTGGCTTCTGCCTCAGCGGTCCCTGACTCTCCCATGCCCGCGGTAGGTTTGCCGAGTGTGGAGGTAGCTCCAGCCACCCATTGGGCGGCCTATATGTGCTGGTCAGGCCCTCTGGGTTTGCACGTGTGCTAGGAGATGCAGGACAAGATTTGGAAGGGGCAGTTTGTTGAGATTTTCTCCTTGCTCCACATGGAGAACTTGCCGCCTTCTGAGAAAGAGTCCAGGGATAAGCATAAGTTTAGGTATCGAAAGATTCCCAAAACGTTTCAGAATTGGATCAGGGCCTTCTCGATTCTGGCTAGTGTTATAGGAGAGAAGGCGCCAGACAAATGCTCGGCCCTGTTTTGTTACCAAGATACCATATGGACGGCATGTCAGGTGTATGGGGGACTAAGCTGGCGGCATTATAATGAACACTTTTGCCACCGGCTGACAGTTTGCCCATCTGTGGGTTGGAATCAAATGGATATTGTAGATATAGTAATGAACCCAAGGCACACCAAGGTTTGCACATAAAATAATGTTTATTCATGCACTGAAATACATGAAGTACCTTTCACAGAAAAATAGTGCATAGAATAATGCATACCAAATCAATAGTACCAGTACCACAATAGTAATAAAGTGCTAATTACATACACCAATAAAAAAGAAATACTGACCAAGAGCAGGAGAAATGAAAACCCAGACATTTCGGACCTCAAGGCTTCCTCTGGGTGACCTCTCACTGACTGATCTATGATCCCACTTATATACCCTGTTAACTCAAACACATAATCCTAAGTGTGGTCAGCTGGAAATGGGGAGGTGCATTTTCGTTAGTGTAATGATGTCTAGGATCTTCTGTATGTTGCTGGAAGATACCTCCCGGTGCCAGTGTCATCATGATGCACATGCGTCAAATGACATCATTACGTACAGACGTGATCACGTGTCCCGGCATCACAGAGGGATTACAGGAAGACATAGTGGCCAAACATGATATGAATCAAAAGGAATTGGTACTAACGCATAACAGCTAATTGTATATACTATCTATTGGCCAGTATTTCCTAAATCTCCTGTAGTACATCACAACAATATTATGTACATGCAAATATATGGGATATATTCTTACATGAATCAAAAGGTACAAACCTCAAATTACCCAAAATTGAAAACAATCAAAAGTGCACATAATATCACGCATATATATTCTCATTTGATCCGTAATACAGTGTACAATACTAAACAATATAATATATGATTTGGATTTTAACAGGCTGCAATATGTAAATATATTATTCCATAGTCCACCAATTAAGGTAATCATATTATATTCTTGTTGAATCGTATATTAAATTGGTGGAAAGGGATGTTAGTAAACTGGAAAAGGAACAACAGACAATCTAATTTGACTAAAAAAGAGAAAAGGGCCTTGAGTGAGTTGTGCAAATACGTGTCCCTGACTATCAAGCCAGCAGTCAAGGGCGGGGCCTTTGTAGTCATGGACACATCTAAATATGAGGGATATAGCTACCAAGGAGGAGATATAAAGATATGATGATATCCTATTCTCTATCACTGTCCCTGTTAACTCCCTCCTACTGGTAGTTAACAAGTTAGAGTGCTTTAGTCTGAAGTCCAATTTTAAGGTTAACATAGACAAGTGCGAAATGCTTGGCCTTGGTGTCTAGAGAGATTTAAATGACCAACTATCTAAATCTCACGGATTTCACTGGGCAACAGTGGACATTAGATAATTGGGGGTGCCGCTAACACCTACGCAAGCAGGCCTTAACAAATCAAACTATATCCCCCTTTTAGACAAAAAAGTGAGCTAACAAAGTGGCACATTACTCAGTTCTCACTTATGGGATGGATCAACATCATAGATGATGACCCTTCTGATGGTGCTATACCTTATGCAGACACTTCCAATCGAATTACCCTGTAAGTTCTTTACTACAATTAATAAATTGCTCACATTCTTTGTATGGAGGTAACTAACTAACTAACAGGCCTAAGAGACAAGGGTGGTGTGGGTCTTCCATATGTTTTCCATTATTATCTAGCCACACTTTTCACTAGAATACAGTGTGATAAAGTGAAGGTAGAGAGGCCTTTAACATTTAACCCCAGGGGAAGTACGTGTTGTATGTGTGGTGTGCAACACAAATCTATGTTTAGTTATGGGCCCCTGGGGTGGAGCATTTGGAGAGCAGGGTGGGCCAATGCTCCACTCCTCAGTTTATACACAACTGGGAGAAATCAGGTCCAGGCAAGAGTTTTTTGGAACTGTCTCCAACCCACTGCTCAGCTGCAGATAATCAGCTGTAGCAGTGGGAATAAACCCCTCCCTTCTAGACAGGTAAAGGGGGGTTGCTGGCTTCCTCCCTGGAAGCAGGTAGGAGAGAGGCTGTTCTCTCCAGTGAGAGAGTCAAGGAGACTGAGAACTGAGAGTGCAAAAGGAAAGCAGTCAAGGCTGGCTTGGAGCACTGGGAGTGCAGAAAGGAAAGCAGTTAAGGCTGGCTTGGAGCACTGGGAGTGTAGAAAGGAAAGCAATAGGCTGACTAAGCACTGTAGTGCAGAGAGCTGACAAAGACACTAGGTTGGTGAAACCAATATTGTTTTGTTCTAGTTTAACCCCTGAGAGATAGGGAACCTGATGTTAGTAAGTGCTCAGATGAGCTAGGTTTTTGTTTATAGGGATTTGTGTTATATTTATGTTTTCATTTGATGCTGTCTCCTGTGTGGACTTACAAATAAAGTGCCTGGATTATATGAAAATAAAAGGACTGTGCCTGTTGTTTACCCTAGAGGACCGTGCTACTTGCAGACAAGGATCACAACAGATAGAAGGAAGTCACTAGATAGAAGGAAGTCTTT